CCAGAGCCATCACAGGTGACCCCGCACACCAGCTGATTGACCTGGTCAGTGTCTCAGGTCAATCAGGTCTCACACCTCCAGACTCACTCCCTGCCCACCCACCAATATGCGCCAATGGGCCAAGTGACCCTCATCACTCAGGCTCTATTCAGACCTTTCACCCCTCCAAGCACGCTGGAATCTGTTCTCTAACTTGTGCCTTTCTGTTGTCTGGTTTCATTCTCCCCTCACACACAGACAGTTTAAAGGTCGCACTCACGGATCGTCGTGTAAATGATTCACTGAACAAGACGGACTCCATCAGTCCATGCTACAGCAGAAACTGCTTCTTACTTTGAGGGTTCAGGATCACTGCTGAAACATGGAGGTTCTTCATGAGACCAGTGGCTCCTCACGGACAGATAGCATGTTACTGGAGACTGTGACCTCTGACCTCTGCAAACACACACACGTTTTCATTTGTATCGCTCTAACAACAGTCAAACGACCTCCTGCAGTAAAGTGAAAATAATAAAAACCTGATCTGCACTGTTTGTCCACACGAGTATTTTCCTACTGTTCTGGGTGACGCTACACAAGGAGGCCTTCCGATTTTCCCAGTCACAGCAAACACCACACACTCAGGCTTCACCTGAGGACCTCACCTGATTCTGTTTCCTGCAGCTGGTGAGTGAATACATATGAATACATACTGTTCGCCTGATGTGTGTCTGGTTTGGTGACATGTGTAAGTGTGCCTGACATTTCAAAGTAAAAGTATTTAGTAGTCAGTGTGAACAAACAGCTACACTAACAGGATCCATGTGACGTCACAGGTGAGTGTATCAGCTGTTACAGTCGTCATTACCCAGCGCACTCTTACTTTGGAGACTCAGGGTCACTGTTGAAATACGGAGGCTCTTCTTGGGACCACCTGCTCCCCTCTGCTCCCTCCTCCTCTTCCTCCATCACCGTCTTCACTCTGAGAGGAGAGAGTAAAGTGATCCCAGGCTATCAGCTCTGCACCCACGGGTGTTGTGCCTGACTCTTCCCTCCACGGCCCACAGAATGATAATTATGTTGTAACAATGCGCGTAATTAAATTTCGCGCGTGTAGACCTCGACAGCCGCGCGCACAAAGAAGCCCTCGTGCAATGTCTGCTTTGCTTTCCAGGCGCTGCTGCAGCGTCGCGCTCTCTGCTCGGAGAGAAATCACGCTCGTGTAAATACAGTTGGCAGTTTGGAGGCGGACCCCATAGTCCTAATGTGATCGGTCACTTTGATGGACACTTCAGGTTCCTGCGTTAAACCGAGTTACACTGTTTTCAACGGCATTATTTTAAACGTGAAGAATAAAGTTCGCTGAATGAATTATTGACAGTGACTGTTTGCTGTGCGGTGACCGCTGTCATTGGATTACTTCACGTTAATGATTCTACTGAAGCGTCTGCACTGACGTGCGCGCGGCTGCCGAGTTCTGCGCGCGCCAAACTTAGTTGCGCACGTGAACTGATTTGCTCTGATTATTTTCTTGCTCGCGCATTTGTCATGACATATCAATCAAGTAGATACTCTTACAGGAGGTCAGTTTGGGGTCACCATCCAGCCTCTGCGTCGGATCCACGTCCTCCTGATGAGTCCGGGGCCTGAACTGACCGCCAACAGGTCACGTGATCCGGCTTCCTCTTCTTCTTCTTTGGAATAAGGGCTATTATCGAGATGTGGGCGTGCTACTGCTCCCCACCGGTAAACAGAATAAATGCTGACAGTAACGGAGACACCAATCTAAACGTTTCCATCCCGACGAGGACGCAGATCCGGCTAAAGTGGTTTTATAGATGTTTGTTTCTTGTCTCATTAATCGAAGGTTCATCTGAGAGACAAACTGATGTTTAGCTCTGTGAGATGAAACAGAAGCTTAGGGGCCATTTATTAATTAAAGTTTTTTATTCTTTTGAACAATTAAGAAAACCATAACATAACCCAAAACAACAAAAAAACCACTCAGTGAAGAAAAATAAATAAATATATAAATTAAATAAATAAACTGTTGCACACACAGTTAATTCTTAATTCATACTGTATCTCACATTGTCTTCATGTTGTAGGCCCATATCAACAAAATAACCTGTCCCATTGTTCTGTTAGAGTCTCTGTCTTACTGCTCAGTCTTCCCAGCATTTTCTCACATGCAGCATTTTCAGTCATTTTCCACTTTTTTAGGGTTGGAGTCCGAGGGTCTTTCCAAAGTGCTAAAATGAGACGAGCACACTTCACAATCCCAGTGCTTAACACTCTAAAGCCTGCTTTGTCTAACTTTGGCACCTCACCTCTGTCCCCCAATAGGCACAGTCTTGGTGATCTAGGTAATTTAACCCTCCATATATTTTAAAACATTTTCCCATATTGGGAAGACCAATGGACATTCCCATAAAGCATGTACTAACGTACCTTTTCCTTCTTGCCACTTCCAGCACAGGTCGTCTTTACTGGTTCCCATTTTATGAAGTCTTTTATATTGAATACATTTGCCTCTAGCTTCCATAATGTAGAACCCATTTTCAGAAATAATTGAATCCCATGTTCCCTCATCGATGGAACAATCCAGATCTTTTTCCCAAGCCCTTTTAAGACTTACATCTGTTGTTTTTAACCCAATGACATAAATGATACCATTTTGATGCCTTTGCAGTTAAGGGTGGAAGTACAAAAAAATTCTCTATGACATTTTTCTCCTGAGACAATTTTATTTTATCTTTCAGACAGTCTCTCATTTGTAAATATCGCCAAAAATGGCCGGGTCCTTCCAAATTAAACTTTACTGTCAAATCATTGAAGGACATAAACATGTTATCTTCATATAAATCACTTATTAATGTTATGCCTTTTTGTGCCACTGTGGCCAATAAATTGTTTGTTTACCTATTTTTATTTTGGGGTTGAGCCACAGTGGTGCATATTTTTGAAAGTATGGGGAGAGATTACAGCTCTTGCGAACCTCTTGCCACACCATTTTTGAAAACTTTAAAATAGGGTTGTCTACTCTATTCCCTTTATTGTCCGGTTTTTGAGCCAACACCTCAATGGGAGTGAATGGAAAGACCAGTTCACGTTCCATTAGAACCCAGTCTAGGTGCCCAGTGTTTACACAGCTTGAACATCTCAAATGAGATGCTGTAATGTTTTATGTAAGGACAAACCTCCTTTTTGTCTCGGTTGGTACAGTCGACCAGGATTAATCCGCGGTCTACCACCATCCCAAAGAAAGTGTTTTATCATATTATCATATCTTGAGAAAAATTGAGGTGAAATACAAATTGGTATCATTCCAATGAAATAATTGATCAGAAGAGCTACTGCCATCTTTATCGTATTTACTTTGCCCCATAATGTCAAGTTCAGCTTGCTCCATTTCTCCAAATTAGTTTTAATCCTAGTTAGTAGTTTTCCTACATTATCATTCATAATCTCATCGACATTCGGATTAAGTGTTATTCCTAAGTATTCTGTCCCTTTTTCTAACACATTGAAATTGAAAGCTGATAATTTCCATTCTCATAGAAATTTGTTTTAAGCCTGAACAATGCATACTCTGCTTTCTTATTATAAATTTCATGAAGATTAAACTTCAATTGGCATATTTTTCTGAAGTTACTCTCTACATAATTTTCTGCCGATTATTTTTCCAAATGACTTATCTGTTTTACCAAAGTCTGTATTTTTTGTTTACTTTCTTTTGCCTTCTTTGAACTATATCCCAGACATTTGCCTCTAATAAAGGCCTTTAGGGTGTCCCATACAGTAGCCAATCTTTCTGTGGTCCCAATATTTACATCCCAAAAAAAGTTAATATCATCTTTTAATGCTGCCACGAATTGTTCATCCTGTAAAAGACTTGGGTTTAGTTTCCACCTGCCCCGATTATATTTCCCAACCTGTAAGTCTATATTTAGTTCTACTGGGGCATGATCTGATAATATGATCATACCTATATCACAGTTACCAGATCAGTGCTCAAACTAGATATTTAAAAATAATCAATTCGGGAATAACTTTTATGAGAATGTGAGTAAAACTTATATTCCCTTTCTAAAGGAAGTACTAGTCTCCAGATATCAACCAACCCGGCTTCCTCTTTAAAGATAGCTGCTGCAGATTTATTTTTTGTACTAGGGCCTAGATTTGCACCACTCCTATCCAAATACTGATCCGGAACCTGATTAAAATCTCCTCCCAGCACAAGCTGGCCCTCAAAATCACCTAATATCTTAATTATTTTGGCAACAAAGTTGGGGTCTTCCCTATTTGGGGCATATATGTTACATAGTATTACTTTCGCACCATTTATAAGTACTTGGAGACATATTACTCGTCCTTCAGTATCTTTAAACTCTCGCAATGGTACAAAGTTGATTTTCTTATTAATAAGTATTATAGCTCCACGGCTTTTCCTAGATACAGAGTTATGAAACACCTTCCCAACCCAATCTCGTTTCATTTTCAAAATGCGTTTCTTGTAAAAATGCTATATCTGCACTACGGGACTTAAGATAGCTTAGGACTTTTTTCCCTTTTAATTGGTGTACTACAACCATTGATATTCCACGTCACAATATTAGGGGCCTTTCAAAGCCAAACATCCACAAACGGCTCTGAAACAAGTCCTAACAGCCGACATACATAAGACTGCGTCTGGGCTGAGTTTTACTTTGAAAGGCTCAGGCCGGAAGCATCGTTCGTGTAGCTTGATGCTAACAGGTGGACGATGTCTGCGTGTGTCGGGGTGCTGAAGCGCCGTCTCGGGGCTCGCTCTCCGGCTGGTTTCGCGTCGCCGCTGCAGCCGCTGAGATGCCCGGGGGGCGGGCGGTGGGAGTCCAGCACGCGGACAGGTACGGCCCTGCTGCTAAAGCTAGCCGGCTAATATTAGCCGAACAGTCCAGGTATCCGGTGACAGGACCGATCGGCTCATCGGTAACAAACAGCTGCTCACATGATCAAACCTTGCAGGCGTGCACACAGGTAAATGAGCCTGCGTGTTCCGAAGCGTGTTACACTGAAGGACTTCTGAACTTTGACCTGCTGTTGGTCAAAGTCTGCTCAGGTGTGTGAAGCTGTCGCAGAGCAGCTCCACTTCCGCTGAGTCCAACAAACAGACCTCCCGGTCAGCGGGCTGGAAAAGCGGGAACGTTGGAATAATAAACACACAGAACGTTTTAAACGATCCAAATATAATTAGGGTGTGCAATCATTTACAATAACGTAATTATGCTTTTATAACACTAACCAGCCACTTTATTAGGTACACTTTAGGTGCACACTAATCAGCCTATCGCAAGGCAGCATTTCGGTGCATCATGATGAAGAGCAGATTTAGGGAACTTTGAGTGATTCAGGAACTGCTGCTCAGCTGAGATCTCCACACAGACATCCCTGAGCTCACATCCAGCAAGCAGCAGGTCGGGCAGGAAATGACCTGCTGAGGTCAGAGGAGTGTCACTCCTGTGAGTACGAACAGGAAGCTGAGGCTGCAGCTCACACAGACTCACAAACAGACAGCAGAAGATGGAGAAAGGTTTCCTGCTGTGCTCGGCTCAGAGTTTAAAGCCTGGATCCGTCCTGCCTGTGCCAGTGCTCAGCCTGCTGCTGCTGCTGTGATGCTGTGGAGGTCTGTCAGCACCACCTGAGCGTCAGTGCTGCTGCTGACCTCAGCTTTGGGATGTGGAGGATAATGATGTCATGGTGATGTCATGTTAACGTGGACTAAAATCTAAGGAATGCTTTCACCCTGTTGCGTCTGTGACATGAGGAATTAAAGCAGCTCTGAACACGAACCAGAGAAGATGTGCAGGGTGCAGAGGGGTCTGCTCCTCCTGCTTTATACTTCTGCTGCTGGGTCTGAGAACCCAGCTGCTGTCAGGCTGATCTGTGCTTTCACTTCACACTCAGAGTGAGTCCGGCCCGCAGGTGTGCCGCTCCTCCGGCCCACAGATATTTAACAAAGCTCAAACAGAGTTTCAGCTGTTCTCATCTGAAGCAGGAACACTGTCTACCTGTCAGGAACACCAAAGCTGACTCTCCTCCTCTTTGGGATTCTCGTCTGAATTTCAGGTGAAACCCTTCGGCCACTAGAGGGCGTCAGAGTCCTGGACCTGACCAGGTGAGTGTGAGCGCTGCAGTAACACTCTGAGTTGTTGGCAGTGTGGAGGCTCAGCACTAACGTGGATGTTCATGTTTGCAGAGTTCTGGCCGGGCCCTTCGCCTCCATGATCCTCGGAGACCTCGGAGCCCAGGTCATCAAAGTGGAGAGACCAGGTGAGCGCTGGGCCTCATTCCTGCCCCGCTGTGAGCAAAGCATTGTGGGATAGTGTTTGTGCGTTTTGTCAAACAGGTGCAGGTGACGACACCAGAGCCTGGGGTCCTCCGTTTGTGGCGTCAGAGAGCGCCTACTTCCTCAGCGTGAACCGGAACAAGAAGGTTGGTGTGTGAGCGCCGAGTCGGCACAAACACATTCATTAGAAACAGTTTAAGCATCAGCAGGACTCTGACAGGGTTCAGTCTGCAAACTGGAAGGTGTTCAGCTGTAAACAGAGCAAACATGTCAAACGTCAGCCTCCCTCGCTCACCTGACGCCGATGCTTCATCCGTGTTTGGGATAATTTGGGATGAACTGTGATTTCAGAGCATCGCCGTGGACCTGAAACATCCCAGAGGAGCACAGATCGTCCAGCAGGTACGACACAGTGACCAGGTTTGTGTTTCTGCCTGAGCCTGTTCCACTCTCTGGTTGTGTGTCAGCTCGCAGGAGTGTGTGACGTGCTGCTGGAAAACTACGTGCCGGGGAAACTCCGTCAGATGGGTTTGGGATACGAGCAGCTGAGCGGACTCAACCCTCGGCTCGTCTACTGCTCCATAACAGGTAACAGTTTTCAACAGGCTTACATGTGTTTCAGGCCCCACCCCCGTGTTTCCAGGTGTGTCTGAGGAACCTTTAAAGGAGTGGAAAAATGGAGCTGATAGGCTCCACCCACTCAAGTCACATGATTCAAGGACTGTGGAACGTCCAGTATTGATGGATTTAGGAGCTGTGGAAACACACCTCCACCTCCTGCAGTTCTCCCTCTGAGCCACTAGATGGGGTCAGACTCCACAGTATGAACAGACTTCCTGCCAGAGCGCTCTGCTTCCTGTCTGCAGGCTGTGATGTTACAGCACAGGAGAGGTGGAGGTGTGCTCTGCAGAGAAGAGAAGCAAGACAGAGCAGAGGTGGTGAAGGTGGAGGAGTTTAAATACCTGCGGTCAACCAGCCACAGAGAGCACGCAGGGTGGAGACGAGTGTGACAGAAGGACAGCTCAGAGTCAGAGAGGTGGAGGTAGTCTGAGCACGTGCAGAGGGGGGAGGGTGGAGCTGCTCAGAAGAAGTTCATGGATGTCTGCAAACAGGAATCTGTGTGTCACTCTTCCACAGGGTGACTCTTCCTCTCCACACGAGCACTAATAAGGTTCACTCCACTCCTCGGGTGGAGTAAAGAGCTGTGACCCTGCAGGGTGGAGCGAGGATTTGGGCAGAGTGCCGTTAAAACCCGTCCGTCAGGAGAGCTGATGGAAAATGTGTTGAGAATAAACGAGCGACATAAACGATGAAGGAGTTTTCTCTCTGCTCCGCCTCCTTTCTTCTGTTTTCTTTCCATTTCCTGTTTGTGTCCTTTGCCCTCATTCCTCTCCGTGTCGCTCTCACTGCTCCAGCCCCTCCCGTCCTTTATTGAGGAGAAATGAACTACATTACCCAGGAGGCCTCATTAAGCTGCAGCAGCTGGATGCAGTGGGCAGATTTACGGCCTGGTTTCATCCTGAGCTTTCGGAGCGACGTCCTGGACGTTTGTCCCGCAGAGCAAAGAGCAGCAGCAGGTTTAAGTTCTGGTGTCACTTCCACAGGAAGAACCGGTCCACAGAGTGTGGATCTTCCATGTGTTCATCAGCTCGTTGACATTTAAACAGGCGCTTCACAAAACATGGACATAAAACCTGCATGTTCTTTAATGTCCAGCGGGGGGCGACTCGTAGAGCAAAGCCTGACTGTACAGACGTTTATGGGGAACAGAGTTTACTGCTCAGCTGGTCTGAGGTCAGCAGACACTCCTGATGAGTTCACGGTCCGAGTCGCTGGTTTCAGGTGTGATCGAATGAAAAGCTCGACCCCACCAGAGACGACAAGGACAGATGTTTAGATGTGCACGTACGACGTGCACGGAGCCGCGCACTGACATCGTTCTCCTGCAGATGTTCGCTCAGCGAGCCTCGGAGGTCACGGCTGTTTCTCAGGCTGTCTGTGGCTGCTTATCATTTTCAAAGTCTTTGTGGGATTTTTCTTTGTTTCCTGATATAAAGCGAGCTTTGAGCTCGGACTGTTTAGGAAACCCGTCTTGTTGTTTAGTCACAGCTGCAGACTCAACATCAGCTGGAATGTGGTTTTCCTGTAAGAGGAGACGCCGAGAGGCCGATGGTTTGATTCCCTGCTGTGTTTTCACTCAGGTCAGAGAGAAACCAGACCACTGGCACCGAGGCAGTAATGTGTGTGTGTGTGTGTGTGTGTGTGTGCGCTCAGGCTACGGACAGACCGGTCCTCACGCTCAGAGTCCAGGGTACGACTCCATCGCCTCGGCAGTGTCAGGGATGATGCACATCACCGGGCCCGAGGTCAGACTCAGACCGCACATGCTCAGTAACGTCCTGATCCTGCTGAGCATGAACAGGTTTCCATGTCTTTACAAATGAAACACTTGTGATGTTACTGTCAGACTCTGACCTGATGTCTGGCTTCACTTTACAGAACTTTGCGACGCGGCTGTAGAAATATCAGCACGCAGGAAGTGCAGAAAGTGAACTTCAAATTAAAATGTTAAACATTTTCTTGGCTCGTCATCGTAGCTGAGAATGTAAACACTGTGAAACAGTCTTCAGGATGCAGATATTTTATTTCAAAATAAAAGCCAGGCACATGAAACTTACGGTCATGAACAGATGAAGAATGTTGAAGCAGTTTAGAGTTCATCTTTGATTTACTAGTTACTGAATGAAACTTTATGTCCTCACAGTTCGACTCACCCCTCGTTTCTCTGTTTTCCTTCCAAGCAGCCAGAACTTCTTGTATTGTTTGAGTGGCTCCAGCTTCCTGAAGCTCTTTCAGTTCTTCTGTAAACATTGGCTGCTTCATGTCTCACCTTCAGTCCAGTCCTTGTACCCGAGCATTTTCCTCGGGGGACGACCAGTGTTGTGCACAGAACAGACACCAGGTTTAAATGTGACCTTTAGGCTCTTTACTCCCACACATCACTTGATCCTGTTTCTTTAGCAGAGTGAGGCCTGCAGACCTCTGACAGCCCTGTCCTACAGAAAGAGGCACAGATAGAAACAAACATGCTCACACCAAATGTTCAGCTTCAGGCTTGTTGTTGTGCAAACTCAGCGTTCCTTATTTCCTGTGTTTGTACTTTCATACATAATAATGAGACAGATTTCCTTAGTATATGAAACGAGGGGTGGCTCAAGACTTTTGCACAGGATTAATCTGGAATGAGTCCTTGTAAATCTCAGCACTGACAGGAAGTACTGACTCTGACGCGTTCACAGCACGTCAGCTTTCTGGATCATCTCCCATAATCCTCTGTTTCTGCTGGCAGGGCGGCGACCCGGTGCGTCCGGGAGTCGCCATGACGGACTTGGCGACGGGGCTGTACGCACACGGAGCTGTCATGGCCGCCCTGCTGCAACGGCAGAAGACGGGCAGAGGAGTTCACATCGACTGCAACCTGCTGTCATCACAGGTAAAACCACCTGACGATGAGCCAATCAGCTCTCAGCATTCTCCACAGGTGAATGCAGTGTAAGAGACGCCAGCAGACCAGCGGGTACTCCAGGTGCTGAGAGGAAGTGATGTACAGGTGGGGGCGCTGTGACGCTCAGCTGGCAGCTGAAACCCACTCAGGTGACACACAAGCTCAGTCAGAGCCTCAGGACACATCAGCTGAGCAGACGCTCTTACCTGCAGCAGGTACGGCGCTGTGTTCAGGGTCAGCTGGTAAATGAAAGCGCTGAGGCTGGCTGATCGATGGAGTGTTTGTGACGGTGCAGATAAGCAGTCGCTGCAGCTGTGTGTGGAGCAGCAAGGTGGAGGCATTGGAACAAGCCTGTGATTTATCCTGATCAGTTTAAACAGACGCGTCAGTGTTTCTCTGACTGTTTAAATAAAGCGAGCGATTCTTAATCCTGCAACCACCCGGACTCGGAGACGGACGGGACCCGCGTCCCGCTTAGACCCGGCACTGTGCGAGCCTCCCGGGGTGCATTTGATTTGCAGTGTCAGGACGCGCTGCTTGTCTGACAGTGTTGCTTTTAAAGGCATGTTTTATGTTTTCTGCATTCTCATTTTTCACCTCTCTGGCTGGGAAAGGCGCTGCGATACGACCGAGTTCAGCTCGTTTCAGGACTTTATGATCCTGCAGAGAGTCTCAGTCTGCAGTTTAGAAACAAACAGCTGCTTCGGCCTGAAAGCACTGGGCAGCTCAGCGGGGTCGTGTTTGGACAGAAAGGGACAGATGATGGGATGACATGTGGATAAAAGTTAACGTGTGTCTCGCTGAGTTTTGGTCCAGCATGCGGGACCGGAGCAGCGTCCGTGCTCCTCAGCACCGACCTGCCAAGAAGATTCATAAACGGCACCAACAAACACCAACCAGCATCCTGAGCTCCAACCTTTAAATTTAACCCATGAACAGAAATGTTACCTGAAGTCTGGACTCACGATGAAGGATGATGATGAATATGACTGCATACACCAATCTGTAGCACGCCTCCTGTGATTGGTTAACAAGGCTGTGAGGTTCTGATCCTTGCGGTCGAGTCTTGAGGCTGCTACAAATAAAATACCCACAATCCCCCTCTTAAATCCCACTGCATTCCTGTCTGAAGTGCTGCGACCACAGGCACGCCGGCCGCAGTGCGAACAATGAGCGCGCACAGCGCTCTGATCCGAGTCCGTGTGGAGCGTGTGAGCGTCGGGGGGATGGAACCGCTACGAGCTGCCTGCAGGTCCCACAGAGCTTCAGGCGCAGGAGAGTCAAACAGTCTGAAGCTCAGCTTGAAGCAGTCGTGGTGAGTCAGAGGAAGTCAGTGTCATGCAGAAGAATAGTTTGATAAGAAGATAAAAACCTGTCAGCACCCTGACCCGGGGGGAGGGGGGGGTCATCCTTGAAGCTTCGTTTGTAGAAGAACAACAGAAACCGTCCACGAGCGTCTCTGCAGCGACTCGCTGCAGTTTGAGTCAGGTGATCGTGATGTGGCTGAAGTGCAGATTCTTTGATTCAAGTTGATGAAGGGAAATATTGAAGTAACCCTTCAGGTGTCTGTGAGCAGCACGCACACCTCACAGCATCATGTGACTCGCTGAGGCAGGCGTGTCGGTGAAGACGTTGGAGAAGCTTTAACCTCATCGTTACCTGCTGGGGAAATAAAGCTGACAGGGTTAATTGTTTTATAAATTCATGACCCTGACTAACCGTGATGTTTCCAGACTCGGTGACCGTGTTAAACTCTGCAGCTTCATCATCATGTTTGTAAGTGTGATCCATGATGTGCCTTCATCACGCTGCTGATATTTGCAGCAGCTCTTCAGACGCAGTGAGCGGCTCGGTGTGCACGCTGAGGAGAGATCAGCTGTTAGCGCCCGTGTGACCGGGCTCAGGTGTAACTGCCGCCTCTCTCTCTCTCAGGTTTCCTGTCTCAGCCATATTGCTGCTAACTACCTGAATGCGGGGAAGGAGGCGAGGCGCTGGGGGACGGCCCACGAGAGCATCGTACCTTACCAGGTAACAACTTCAACTGGCCACTATCTAACAATAACTTTATTGATATCACACCTGAAACACAGAGAAAAGACAGAAAAAACCTCAGGAAATATAACATTGAATCAACATTGTTAGATAATAAAAGAATAAAACGGTGACGTCAGGAAAACAGAAGAAAACTGAAAAGTGATGCACGAATATTAAATAACGATGAGCTGATCTCAGCTGTGACAACAGCAGCAGAACAAAGGGTTGAACTTTATAGTGTGGCCAGTCAGTCCTTTCTAATTAAACAGAGTTTAAGTGTCATTGTTATACTTACAGGTGGCTGCACTAGAATCAGGTTTCATAGGAAACAAAGGAGTAATTATGGTGTGATTTCCTGCTGATTCAGCAGAAACATGTTTCTCTATCTTACATAGTAAGCATGTCGTAGTTCTCAGGGCCGTGTTGTGGTTTGACCTTTAACCTTTGGGAAAGGAGACACAGACTCTACTGTAGGAACATTTAAGAGCAGCACTTACATGTAGCTACAGTAGAGTCACAAACCAGAGTTTACCACAGACGTGTCCGCTCTTCTGTCACTGCGATGTTACGGTTTAACAGCGTTTAGCCTCTAAAACGCGCCTCAGCCGGATGATCGAAGCGCGTCATTGGTCGGCGAGCCGTGAGCCAGATGACTGCGTGGCTCTTCTTCTCTGGTGTCTCTTTGAGCGTCTCTGCCAGCTGTAGTTCTGGTGTGTTTGACAGTTTCCCTCCAGGCTTGAGGAGACTCTGTGAGCTTGTTTGTTATTAACAGACTTTATTGCATCTGCGGGAGGAACACACGTCTCTGACGCCAGAAACTGCTTCAGACTAAGATGGGCTGAATTACACTTTCAGGGTCTCAGCGCACGCTCTGACCTCCCTCTCTCCGGCCACACCCTCCAGCTTTGTTGGTGCAGATTTACGGATCTGAGAGTTTTCTCAGAGCTTCTAACATCCAAATATACGAGTCTCAGGCGTGAGCGTTGTCAGAGGAAGAGCTGTTTGAGATCTGAGGAAGTCCTGAGAGTTGACGTCAAGAGAAGGACGGAGCAGGACGAGCTTTGAGCCATAAATCAGATGGACAATTATCAAACAATTAGAAGTGATTAGTGTCATCTTAAACGTTTTGTGTCACACTGCCGCCTGGGTGGAAGTGATTTCCAGTTCTCCTCAAACCAACCACACAGGCGGCTCTGCTCGTGTTGCACTTTTTGTCTTAAACCACTTTAAAGGTCACAAACGTCTCTTCGAGGCCATCGCGTTGGTTCTTGATATCAACAGAGTGTGTCCATCCTCCAGGCTGTCACTGTAACAAATGACAGTTTCTTTTCCTGATCACATTTGAAGGTTCATAAAAGCATGAGAGAGCAGAGTTAGAGCTGTTTCTCTTCTCCCTCGGCTTCTCTGTGGTGTCGTTAAATGTGAATTATCTGTTTCTGCAAGGTTCAAAGCGCTCGGGGTTTTGGCTGGATGGAAATCAGCAGATGCAGACTGAACACAAACCAACCCATGCAGGAAACCCTGATTAAAATATAAAACTAAATAAAGAGAAGCAGCAGCTGGAACCGCTCCTGCTTCACGGAGTTTCATATTGAACTGAAAACTGCTGTCAGGCAGCACAAAGTTGTTTCAGAGACTTTTAAAAATCATCTTTGAGCTGACAAGAATACTTAATGACGAGGTGGGCGTGGCAATGGGCAGATTTACAGGGAGGTTAAAGTAGATCCCGGACGAGCTCCCAAACTATGTTCTACATACTCCAACAGCATCAGCTCAGTCGGAGCATCTCTGATAATTAACCTGCTTGTAACCTGTAAGACCAGTCGGAGCGGGCACGCTCCGTTTTGCGTAACTATTTTTAAATCCCTGTACAACTGCAACCATGTAAGCTAGCGCAATAATTTTAGTTGCATATGGAACCGGAGAAGTTGTACTTACATCTTATGCCATCAGCTTGTGCTCGGTCACGGTTTCCTTCCACTTATAGCTTTGCAAAAATTTCGTAAAAAGCACTTGCAGCAACATAAACATAATATTCCAGAAACACGCTTTGCCGATCCGATCAGCTGTTCATAACACCTCCTACGTTGGAATAGACGCCAGCGCGAACTATCGCGTGTCCGCCATGACCTGGTGACGTCGTTTTCACAGAAAATTTTATTTTTTACCTTCAGGGCCTTATAAGCCTATACTGGTGTTTTTATAAGTCATGCTTGACTTTTAGCTTTCCTGAATAGTTTCTGGGATGCTTAGAACTCAAACTGCACTGCTGGAAATTGTTTATTTTCATGCACACGCTGTTTTTTTGCAAATTAGCATTATAATATTTATTTTGGTTTTCCCTGCAGGACATAAAAATTGGTGTATCTCAAAAATAAAACTTTGAAGACACTCAAAATAAATTTCCTGTGGCTAGAAACTATTTTGTGCAACTTTTTTGTATTTACAGTTTTGAGGAATAAAACTGAAATATATGCAAATAAAAAACAAAAATGATTTTCAATTTTTTTTTGTAGTTTATTGCACTGTTTTGCAATTTATGAGGTTACTATGAACTTAATGCAGACATATTATTAAAATTTGGGCTATAATGGTTGTATTGATGTATAGCAACTTGAAATGCTCCCAAAAATGGCTCCACAGCATGTAAAATATAAAGATAAGCTCTGGCAGACTTGGCTCTGTGGTAGGTCTTAAAGTAACGATGCGTTGACTTGGATCAGGCTCGTGTCTCTTTAACGTGTTGCAGTTCTTTGTATTGTTTTTGCTGTTTGACTACTTTTAAAAGTGTTTCTAAAACATGCCAGTTTTATTTTGTTTGCTTAGATTATTTTACTTTGCACGCAAAAACAAAATGATTTCACAAAAACTTATTAGCTTCCCTGATGCTAACGGTCAGCAGTGTGTCCTGTTTGCTGGGTAACAGCCTGCAGTCGTCTCCTGAGCGATCACACATCCTTCTATCTTCATCATTCCTCCCACCTCGATGAGATTCCCAGACACTGAAGTGTCACCAGAACATACTGCCACCACTGTGCTTCACTGTGGGGATGCTCCTTTGGGTCGTAGCCCGTCTCCTTTCTCCAAACTCTGTGCACGAAGCTCTGCTTTCATCTGATCTGACCAAAGTACACTGCAGTCTGTAGAATCTGCATAGAGTCAGCATACCTCAGTGCGACATGCAGAAGTGGACTATTTCCCGGTCTGCAGCCTCTCAGTGCATCCCTGTGCGATTCCCGACTCGGCTGAGTCATCCACGAGTGTCTCTTCAGTGGTTCTGGGCTCTTTAGACTCACTCGTTTTGAAATCTTTGCTTGGTTCTGCCCGGTCTGTTCTCGGTGACAGTCTTTGGATTTCTTGATGATGCTTCCCTCTGCAGTCCTTCACACATGGAAAAGCCGAGACAACTTTGTATGTTTGTCTTTGTGAGCATTAAATTCTTCTAAAGTCTAAACTGATTTCTTTGGCATGAAGCTTCCTCAGTGACGGCTCAAACCCTGGCTGGGGTTTGTAAAACTGGAAGATAACCCTCAGATTTAACATTCAGCTGTAACTGAACCTGACCCCACACTCGGACCCTGCTCGATCCAGCCGCCTGAATCTTTAAAAGTCCTTAACTCTGATGTTTTCTTCATTTCGGGTTCCTGGAACTCATTTCAATAAAATGAACCATTAACTGTTATTACTGTCAGATAAGTAGAAATGAATAAATAAAGAACTTCTTCACATTCACTCGTGTTTTCTATCCGCCTTCAGTCTGCTTCACATTACTGACTCAGCCTGAGGGAGATGTTGCTGTTATTATGGAGGGTCATGACTCACATGTGGACGCGCACACACACACACACACACACACACACACACACACACACACACACACACACACACTGCGTGACGTTTTCTCCTTCCTCTGGCGGCTCGATTCTTGTGGTCACCATCTCTAACCAGCCGCAGCTTTATCGTCCGACACTGTTTTAATCCTCGTGTGAAC